CACCAGGTGTAGACACTGTGGAAAAGATTCTCAGCTGGTATAAATGGTTGTAGCACCATTGGAGGGTGCTAAGGAAGGGCAATTTCCACCATTCACACATTGGTGCTATGCGAGCTACACCAGTTGAGGATCTGCCCCTGTATTATTGCATTAAAAACACAGGTTATAAGTATTTCCTTCTGTAGCTAGCCCTGGGATGTATTTTTAGCCTCTGTGCATTGCTCTGCCCTGCCTGTAAAAATCAATTCCTGCAGCGCTGCCAGCGCAGAACCGGTCTCCATAAAGTAGAAATTGACTCGACCCCAAGTCAGTTCAGCACGGCTGTTGGCCTCACCTGCCGGCAACTGGAGCCAGCAGAGCCAATCAAACGTATTTTTCTTCTCACCACTCTTGCTGGAATGGTCTAGGGCTACACATTGTGCCATTCATGCCTAATGCCCTGGGGACCGCGAAGCTGCCAGAGCTGCCTGGAGTTCCACTGTGCAATATATCTGCCCCGAGTCAACAGAGAGCTCTGTTGAATCGATGGCGAGTTGCCGTCTTGTAAACAGAATGGCGCTTTTTTTCTTTATGTGCTAAAATTAGAATTAACTGACTAGCTGAGCGGAATACAGGAAACTGTACCATGGGGAGCAGGCTCTTGACTCATGCCCTGCTGGGACCACAGATGCTGCTCTCTTCTGATCTATCCGCTGGACACTAGAGGTGGGGGGCCAGCCGGGATGGAAGGGCAGGACAGTGTCGCTAAGTGGGGGGTTTAATAGCCTTCTGCCCTTCCTTAGCCACCTTCCCCCTTCTCCAGGTGCTTTGCAAACTGTAATGAATCCGCATGAGCCAGTAGGCAAGTCGGAATCATTAATTTCAGGATTCTAAGGCCTGGTCTACACTGGGGGGGATCGATCTAAGTTACGCAACTTCAGCTACGTGAATAACGTAGCTGAAGTCAACGTACTTAGATCGACTTACTGTGGTGTCTTCACTGCGGTGAGTCGACTGCTACCACTCCCCCATCGACTCCGCCTGCGACTCTTGCGGTGGTGGAGTACAGGAGTCGACGGGAGAGCGCTCGGGGGTCGATTTATCACGTCTAGACGCGATAAATCGACCCCCGCTGGATCAATCGCTGCCCGCCGATCCAGCGGGTAGTGTAGACATACCCTAAGGAAAGGAAGGAGTGAGAGCTGCAGCATAAGGACAATGAACTTCAAACAAGCAGACTTTAACAAACCCAGAGAACTGGTGGTAAGGTCCCATGTTACTAAAGGCACAACTGCAAACTAGCCTGATGTGAAGGAAGAATAAGAGGCCATCGGGATAGCTGGCAGTTGTGCCTATAACATTCTCTCCTTAAGAAACTACCATCTCTTCTGAACTCCTTTATCCATTAGATTTTCTTCCTGTACTTTACCTACCAGTTCTCTGGAACAAAAGCAGAAAGGCTAAGGCACACAGTGAGTTACACCTAGCAGGGGAAATAAAAGACAATAAGAAGAGGTTTTTTAAATACAGTAGGAACAAGAGAAAGATGAAGAAAAATTACATCTTCTGCTCAGCAGGGAAGGAGAGTTAATAACTGATGACATCAAGAAGGCTGAGGTGTTTAATGCTTATTTTGCTTCAGTCTTCACTAAAAAGGCTAATGATGACCAGATACTCAACACAATTAATATTAATAACAAGGAGGAAGGTAGGCAAGCCAAAATAAGGAAAGAACAGGTTAAAGAATATTGAGATAAGGTAAATGTATTCAAGTTGGTAGGGCCTGATGAAAATCATTGTTGGGTACTTAAGGAACTAGCTGATACAAACTTGGAACTGTTAGCAATTATCTTTGAGAACTCATATGGGTCCCAGAGGACTGGAGAAAGGTGAACATAGTAGCTATCTTTAAAAATGGGAACAAAGAGGAATTATAGACCAGTCAGCCTAGCTTCCAAACCTGGAAAGACAGGGGAACGAATTATTAAGTGATCAGTTTGTAAGCACCTAGATGATAATAGGATTTTAAGGAATAGCCAGCATGGATTTGTCAAGAACAAATTATATGAAACTAACTTAACTTCCTTCTTTGACACGTGTGTGTGTGTGTAGATGTTGGTATAACTTGATTTTAGTAAGGCTTTTGACACAGTCCCACATGACATTCTCATAAACAAACTAGGGATATATGGTCTAGATGAAATGACTATAGGGTGGGTGCACAACAAGTTGAAAGACTGTATTCAAAGAGTAGTTTTCAATGATTCATCATCAAACTGGTAGGAAGTATTTAGTGGGGTCCTGCAGGGATCAATCCTGTGTCCAATACTATTCAATATTTTCGTTAATGACTTGGATAATGGAGTGGATAGTATGTTTGTTTATAAATGTTGCAGATGACACCAAGCCGGGAGCGGTTGGTAGCACTTTGAAGGACAGGATTGAAATTGATACCAACCTTGACAAATCAGAGAATTGGTCTGAAATCAACAAGATGAAATTCAATAATGATAAGTGTAAAGTGCTACACTTAGGAAAGAAAAATCAAATGCACAACTAAAAAATGGGGAATAACTGGCCACACGATACTACTGCTGAAAAGGATCTGGGGGTTAGAGTGGATCACAAATTGAATCAGTCAACAATGTGATGCAGTTGTGAAAAAGGCTAATATCAATCTGGGGTGTGTTAACAGGAGTGTCGTATGTAAGACACGGGAGGTAATTGTCAGGCTCTACTCGGCCCTGATGAGGCCTCAGCTGGAGCACTGTGTCCAACTCTGGGCATCACACTTTAGGAGAGATGTGGACAAACTGGAGAGAGGGTTCAGAGGAGAGCAACAAAAATGATAACAGGTTTAGAAAACCTGACCTATGAGGAAAGGTTAAAAAAACTGGGCATGTTTAGTCTTGAGAAAAGAAGACTGAGGGGATGAGAACCTGACAAAAGTCTTCAAATATGTTAAGGACTGTTATAAAGAGGACGGTGATCAATTGTTCTCCACGTCGACAGAAGGTAGGACAAGAAGTAATGGGCTTAATCTGCAGCACAGGAGATTTAGGTTAGGTATTAGGAAAAACTTCCTAACTCTAAGGGTAGTTACGCTCTGGAATAGGCTTCCAAAGGAGGTTGTGGAATCCCGTCACTGGAGATTTTTAAGAACAGGGTGGACCAACACCTGTCAGGGATGATCTAGGTTTACTTGGTCCTGCCTCAGTTCAGGGGCTGGACTTCCCCCCTGAAGGTCCCTCCCAGCCTTACATTACTACAATTCCATGACTCACCCCACTTTAACAGTGGGGAAACTGAGGCCCAGAGAGGTTGCAACTTGTCCATGCAGTGAGCTGTGAATAGAACCCAGCTAGCCCTGCCTCTCAGCCCTTGCTCTGATCTCTAGGCAACACTAGTACTGAAGTTCCCAAGGGACAGTTTTTTAAAGGAATTTAGACACCTAAAGATACAGGTAGGCACCTAGTAGGATTTTCAAGAGCACTGAAGGACCTAACTCCAATTGATTTCAATGGAACTCCCACTAGGTGCCTACCTGCCTCTTTAGGCACCTAAATTCATTTAAAAAGCTCGCCCTAAATGATTCTTGCTGCTGATGATCCAACCTCTCCCCTGCTTGTTGTCTCATCAGAGCCATTTCTAGGCACAGGAGGAGGCGGGAGAATGAGATGTACTGGTGATAGTGATGGGGATGGGACAAAGAGCGTCCCTCATCCCTCTTCCCCAGCAGGTTAGTTTGAGCCAGTTCCAGCAAAACAGCTGGATTTGGGGTTCTCTCACCCCATGGCACACTGCATGGATGCCATGGATACAGATTTGCCCAGAGGTGGGGCAAAAACTATGCCAGGCCAAGCAAGTCTTTCAGTGACTACGACTATAGCGTCTATCGACAGGGCGAAGGTCTCCAGTGTGTTTGCTGCATGGTGCCGGGATGAGCTCTGCTGGCAGTGCGCTTGCTGCATGAGGTGAGGATGGGCTACAGAACCAAAGCATGGAGCAGGGCTGGGGCTCCCGTGGAGTTAGCAGGGGTTGTGCAGGTCTGGACAAGAGCAGGATTTGGTCCAGTATCTTGAGAAAAAAAAAAAAAGAGCGGCCCTTAGACAGGCATGGAACTTGGACCTTGAGAAACATGAAAATCCATCTCCCAAACCACTGGAAATAAAGGAACCTGTGTAGCATAATCCAAAACACGCCAGCCACAAGACTGCACGTGCCCGCAAAACACAGGCGTGAACGGGAGGATCCTCCAGGAGCAGCGCCGCAATTAGACGAGCGAAAGAAAGAGCCATCTGTTGCAAAGCCCGCCCAGGATTCTGAAGTTCACTAGGCAGCATCATGTTTCTTCCAGGCCTCCTGGTATACCTTCAAGAGTTCAGTGTAGGTTAAAAGCCAGTGTGGCTTTGGCAATTAAGTCACTTGTAAATCAGCCTCAACTGCCAAAACAGCGTGTTTCAAAATATACCATAGGCCTTTTGATGCTCTGGTGATCTGAAGACTCTAAATAGAGCTTTAAAGCCCACTTGTGTGTAGCACTCAGTGCTCCAGTTCCATGAAACATGGATTCTTCTTACGGCAACTTTAACTCAGCACCTTGCTCCTGAGGCATAGATTGAAGTGTGCGTGAGATGACAGGGCTAGTAATGGCAGCTCAGACTGTGCAACTTTTAAAGAAATAACCCCAGTAGGGGCCACAAATAAAAGCACATTTGGGCTCAGATTCTCAGCTGCCATAAATCAATATCGCTCCACTGAAATCAATGGCCTCAGCGCAGGAATTACTGGGTAAAAAGCTCTTTGAGGTCAGACTAGGTGATCACAATGGACCTTCCTGGCCTTAAGATCTATGAATCCATGAAATCAATGGCACCACTTTACACTGGTGTGTAAAGAACCAAACCGTGACATCTGCAAAATGTCTAGTAAAAAGATCATTTGAACCAGTTAAACACTCCTTAAGGCATGGATTTATTGTTCATTTTGTTAGTAAATTTCACAGCGGGGTGATGCTTCCTTCTGAAACAATTCTCAACAAATCTAAAAAGAACAGACGGAGTATTTTATGGACAGTAGAGCACTTGGGAGGGGGCTAACCCCAGATCCTACAGACCACAGGGATGTTTGTACCCATCTCTCAGTGTTAATGTCAGTTTCAGGGATGCTGGCAGACCTTGTTCCAAGTCCTGTTTCTGTGAAGATCCTCCACCATTCCAGGCTTGCTAGCTCTGCATGAAGAGGTGAAAATTGGTCCTAGTGAATTCCTGATGGATGCTGTTGAGTAAGGTATCGGAGTCCTGCGTCAGCTCTGGAAGGATCTGCAGGGCAGGGAGGAAGCTCTGCTCTGGGGTGTACGTAAATGTGAACGAGCTGGAGTAGATCAGCCCATCGTTCCTTATGAGCGAGAGTGGGATGGTGATGGGGTATCTCAGCCATCGCCAGTCGCTGCCAAATGCCGAGACGTCAGGGACAACACACACTAAGGACTTGGGGGTCCTGGGAACAGTGCGCAAAAGAAAAAGAAAAGAAACCATATATATTACTGTAGCCTTTCTGGAGAGGAGAGTCCGCCCTGTCCCACTCACAACCCTAATGCAGCCTTTCTCCCATAGTGCCTTTGAATAAAACAAATTCTATTTTGCCACCTGGTGGCAGTCATTTAGTCTTGGGATTAATGGCAGCTCCTGATTTGTCCAGTCTCCTTCCTTTTCTCTTTTGTCTCTTTCTCCCTTTCCTCTCTGTTTTGGTGGGGTTCCCGTTCCAAGGTTTGGCCCTTCGGGCCCAGACTCTCACCCTGTTTTATTTTTGCCTCATGCCCATGCTGCAGATGGAGCAGCCACGTACCTCCTGAAGTGGCCTCACGGAGGACCCATTCTCCCAGCCTGAGATCCCTTGTCGTAAATGCTGGCGTACTAGTCAATGTCCATCGAGTGCAATCCCGAGCTGGCGCAGGCATGGATCAGATGCCCTAGGAAGCCTTTTCCATCTCTAATTACAATGCTTGTGTACGTGTGTATTATTTCCAGACTCATCTTGTTTTGTCTTGTGGGATACCCTTCACAAAATTCCCACCTAAAGCAAAGCTCCTTGGGACCACAATAATGACAAAAAAGGCCTGCCAGATGTAGCCTTTAGGGACGGTGCCATTTATGCCATCCACCACCACCTCCATCTCCGCCTGTGTCTAAACACCAGCTCATCAGACTGGTTCGCTGCTTTACCTGTACATAGTCTCAGCTTCCACATCTCCAAACCAGACCTTCAGATCTGCATGGAAATACTCGCCCTGCACCTCCAGCATCGCCACGTCCCCTCCGCCAGTCAGCTGTCACAACCAGAGCACATGGGAGGGGGTTATACACCTTGCACCATGACGTGCTGCCGCCCCAATACGTTCCTGCAGGTGGCGACGTTCCCAGCTGGAGGGCTTGCTGTCCGCCCTGCAGAAGAGTGGGCAGTGCACAGTGCCCTACCCCAGGGGAGGAGAGCAGGGCGCTGAACCGTGGGTGGGCACAAGGAGAGGGAGTTGAGGAGACAATAGGACCAGTTATTGAGCAGAGGGGAAAAGATCAAAACTTATTGATTCCTCAAATCATCTGTGAAAAATCTGCCCTGTCATGCGCACAGAGGGCAGCGTGTGGCAAGAGGCCCGGGGGTTGGGGAGGGTGGAAGGTGTTTCAGAGGCACATGCAGAGCTAGGAGAATGGATTTGCAGCCTCTTGTGCTTCGATAAGCTAGGTCAGGGGTGGCCAACCTGAGCCTGAGAAGGAGCCAGAATTTACCAATGTACATTGCCAAAGAGCCATGGTAATACGTCAGCAGCCCCGCCGATCAGCGCCTCCCCCTCCCTCCCTGCACCTCCTGATCAGCAGTTTCGTGGCATGCAGGAGGCTCTGGGGGAGAAGGGGAGGAGCGAGGGCATGGCAGGCTCAGGGGTGGGAGTGGGAAGGGGTGGAGTGGGGGCAGGGCCTGTGGCAGAGCCTGAGCTGTGAGCACCCCCCGGCACATTGGAAAGTTGGCACCTGTAGCTCCAGCCCTGGAGTCGATGCCTATACAAGGAGCTGCATATTAACTTCTGAAGAGCCGCATGTGGCTTCGGAGTCACAGGTTGGCCACCCCTGAGCTAGGTTAACAAAAGCTGCGCACAGGATGACAAGATGGAAAGCCCTCCGTACCTCCAGCATGGTTATAAGTGGGACTGGGCTCACAGGATCCTGAATACAGGCCAGGCTGTCACTGAACGTGTACTCCACAGTCTCCGTTCCAATTATCGTCCAGCAGGAGCCATCGTTCAGCAGCTCACGGTTCGCTTCCTTTGGGCACGGAGACGCCTGCATGGAATTTTAGTGTCATGGAGGCCACATGCCATAGTGGTGCGAGCCGGGGACGGATAGCCAGGACTCCTGGGTTCTATTCCTGACTCTGCCATGGTCTGCTTGACTTTTGGCAAGTCACTCCACCTCTCTGTGTCACTGTCTCACCGTCAAAGGGAGATAATAATATCTCTCGACCTTTGTAAAAGGATCTGAGAGCCCTGAATGGAAGGTGCTGGACCGGCATGTTGCTATTATTAATTATTATTATTATTATTATCCACCTGCTGCAGCTCCATGTTCAGGGATAGGGATATGTCTATGCTGACCCAAAGGAGCAGTCAGGATCAGTGACTTCATCCTGAAATGCTTCTGGCTTAACAAAATCACATGGAAGCTTGGCTATGTGACGCTGTGGGAAGCGGCCAGAGGGGCAGGGCCAAGTGGGGAGGGAGAGAGGTCTGTGTTGCTCTGGGGTGACAGGTAAAATTAGAGCAAGGCCCAGCATGGGCAGGTGAAGTTGGAGTGGGGGGGGGTGTCTCCATGCATGGGTTCTGTCCCTATTCCCACATCACATAAAGGACTGAATTTCATTTGGGGATTGCGGGGGGCTTTAAGGTAAAGACCACTCAAGTGATGGACTCAGCAGCAAGTAACAGGAGGGAGTTTGCTCTCGCTAGCATCTGGACAGTTTCCCAGTTTGTGCTGCATTACCTGGAACTGGATCACTTTCTCTGTCGAGAGACACAGGTACATCCCGTCGCTGCCCTGGAACTGGAAAGCGCACTTGTGGAGCTGGGAGATGGGCTCATCCACATCCAGCATGGCGTACTGCTTGGTGACTTTCCGAATGATCTGTGGGGGAGGACAGACAGGCGGGCTGACCGGCCGCGGAGGGGAGCAGCTCAGTGGCTGGAGAGAACCGTCAGCTCCAGAAAGTTCAGCATTTTTATCCTTCAGAGATTTTCTCAGCCCGAAACCTCCTCTGGGGCCGTTGTGGGAATTCCCTGCTCCCTCCCCTACTGTCTGACATGGAACAAAATCAGCCCACATCATTCTAGCCTGTCTGCTGCCACTGCCCTCCCATTTGCCCTGCCCCCTGTTCACTTCATCCCCTCTCCCTCTGTCGCTTGCTCTCCCTCACCCTCGCTCACTCGCTCATTTTCACCAGGTTGGGGCAAGAGGGTGGGGTGCAGGAGGAGGTGAAGGCTCCAGCTGGGGCTGCAGGCTCTGGGGTGGGGCCAGGGATAAGGGGTTTGGGGTGCAGGAGGGGGCTACGGCTGGGGCCAAGGGGTTCAGAGTGCAGGAGGGGGCTCAGGACTGGGGAAGGGGGTTGGGGTGTGGGAGGGGCTGTGGGGTACAGACTCCGGGAGGAAGTTTGTGTGTGGGAGGGGGTTCTGAGCTGGGGCAGAGGGTTGGGGCACAGGCTCCAGGTGGCGCTGACCTCAGGCGGCTCCCGGGAAGCAGTGACATGTCCCCCCAGCTCCTAGGTGGGAGGAAGGGGGTGTCCAGAGGGCTCCGTGTGCTGCAGGCACCGCCTCCAGGCACTGCCCCTGCAGCTCCCATTGGCTCCATAGGAGCTGCGGAGCCAGCCTAGGAGCCAGAGGGACATACTGGCACTGTCTGCTTCCCAGGAGCTGCGTGGAGCCAGGCATGGAGCCTGCCTGCCCTGCTGGCACTGCGGCCAACTGGACTTTTAGTGGCCGGGTCAGCTGTGCTGACCAGAGCTGCCAGGGTCCCTGTTCGACTGGCGAAAACCAGGCGGCTGGCAACCCTACATGGAGCTGAAGCCGGAAGCATTCCCCATCCTATCCGGTGTCTGAGTTTCCCGGGAGCCTTACCAGGGGCGGCAGGGTAACGCCGGTGGCTGTGCAGATGAGCTGGACTACGGAGCCGTAGCGAATGTACCCTTCCCGCAGTGGGAACTCACCCCGGGTGCAGTGCTCATCAGCTTCCCATGGAAAGGAAAAGAGATGGAGAGTTATCAACCTGGAGCAAGAAGGAGGGAACAGCTCCCGCTGGCTCTAGCTGCAGGACCAGGGTAGAGGAGAACTCTCTCTCATCACGGAGCCTGGCAGCACGGTGGATAAGGGGTTCCCTGGACACTCTCCAGGCAACTGGTACCCTGAAACTCTCCAATTTGTGCATCTTCAAGACGCAGGGTAAATGCAGCCTGCAGAGGGCAGTGCTCCCCGCAGGCCGTTCTCCACTGCGATTGGAGCAGGCAGGCCGGCACACTGGGATCTGTAAGCGCTGCAGGTGACACCTCCAGATTCACAACGGGGAGGGAGGCAGCTGAGATCTCTTACATTTCATACAAAGCGCGCCTGGCCATCAGGCTCCAGGCGCATGCTAATGTGGCCCTTGGACCGGCACCTCCTGAGCTGCCCTTGCTCAAGACCAGCAGGCTTTTAGGGCCTGATCCAAAACCTACTGCAGTCAATGGGAGTCTTTCCACTGATTTCAAAGGGCACTGGATCAGGCCCTTAGTGAGGAAAGGGCGTTGGGAACCAGGGATGAATTTAGACTGCTCCCAGCCCTTTCCCCTGCTGTCTCCTTCCTGGAGAACGACATACCAGCGCAGGAGAAGGGAATCGGATTGTTACTGAGTCTGGGCAACACCCTGGGACTCCAGGAGGCAAACGTGGTGGCAAAGGGAAGTTAAGGTAGGTAGGAGACCAAAGCCACCGAGGGTGGGGCGGAGTAGGGGGTGGCGGGAGGGACATTCACAGGGAGGATAATTTCACACTGCCTGGGAGTGCTGGTAGCAGGTATCAAAGAAACCAATGGGGTCAAAATAGGTACCATCTCCTATCTATTCTTGGCCCCATTCTTGAAGTATCAGAATGCCTGCTGCTCTTTAATGTAGTTATTCTCACAACACCCCTGGGAGGCAGGGCAGGGCTAGTACTGATTGGGGCTGAGGCCTGGACCCTCAATATACGTAGGCTTCTAACTTCTGTTGACATCTGAGCATCTGGGCCTAAGTGACTTACTGAAGGTCATGTAGGAAGCCAGCACTGGAGTAGAGAATTGAATCCAGGTGTCTGAAATCCCGGATTAGCTGCCTAATCAATGGACCATCCTTCCTCCCCCCTCAGAGCTCTGTCTGCAGGCAGGGAGGGGCAATGTGCTGCAAAGAGACACAGGCCTCCTGCTGGAAGCTGGCCTCAAGGGTTCCTGACATTTTTTAGAAAGATACTTCTGTTGACCTGTGATTATGACTTGTTAAAATCAGTAAGCACCATTGTTCAGATTGGATTTGAACGCTCTGTTTGTCTTTCACTATTGCTATGCTTGGGTGGCCAAATCTACCCCTACCGTTAATGGACACAGCTCCACTGACTTCACCAGTGGTGTACCAGCAGTGAATTTGGCCCCGTGTGGACTGCTGGAGTTTGCTGAACATGTAAGGTCCTCACCCAGGTGCAGTGTGAATGCTGCCCATTGCCTTGCGCTAGCGATGAAGGTGCCACCCTCTACGGACAGATAACGGGTGCTGACCGTCTGGGAGCGGAGGCGGTTAAAGAGGGAAACCTTGGACCCAGATGAGATGCACACTGCAAAAGACAGACAGACACTGGCATTAGCACTGATGGAAACTCACTGTTATCAGTATCAGCTTGCCCGAATACCGGAGCATGGCTGAGCGATTTGATAGCCGCAGAGGCCAGTTATTGCTTTGCATAGAGTTAGGATAAAGAATGCAGTGAACCATCATGTTACAAAATCTTGTTCTTCTGAGTCTTTGTCCACGTGGATCCCACGGGTGGTTGCATACACCTCCAGGTGCGTGAGTGGGATCCAGGCAGACAAAACACCTTGAAGAACCTGTGACTTTGAGGTGAGTAACCATTCTTCTGCGCTGCCAACACTTCATAATATCTTCAAAATCTGTGACTGAAGAGACCTATTAAGTCATATCTTGTGCAGTCCGGGGTTGCTTTCCCCTGCTCTACAGGTCATTAGCTAATGCTCCATGCGTTCTCGTTTTCATATCAGCGTGTGGTTTGAAAGCACTGCTCTGCCTTTCTCAGACTCCACAGGGCTAGGCTGGTGTACACAGCATAATGAACACTAGCCCTTTCTGGCTGGCTTTCCCTTTAGCGGAGTACCAGCTGAGATGGCCTTTTATAAAGGGTGGGTGATGCCTTTGTCTGTATGTGGAGATCTTTGAACAGAAACCCTGACAAAGGTTCTGCATTAGATCTTTACACAGCGTGGTAGGATACATTTTCGAGAAAGTGGACATAAATATGCCCTGATCCATTCTTCCTTCTGTTGACTTCACCGGGCTTTGGATCAGGCAGCCTATAGCGCAGGGGTTGGCAACCTTTCAGAAGTGCTGTGCCGAGTCTTCATTTATTCACTATGATTTAAGGTTTCGTGTGCCAGTCATACATTTTAACGTTTTTAGAAGGTCTCTTTCTATAAGTCTATAATATATAACGAAACTATTGTTGTATGTAAAGTAAATAAGGTTTTTAAAATGTTTAAGAAGCTTCATTTACAATTAAATTAAAATGCAGAGCCCCCCGAACCAGTGGCCAGGATCCGGGCAGTGTGAGTGCCACTGAAAATCAGCTTGCGTGCCGCCTTTGGCACGCGTGCCATAGGTTGTCTACCCCTGCTATAGCGCATAAGCCTGTCATGTGTAAGGACTTGGCGGATATTCAATCTGCCATCTGTGATAGTTTCTTGTTTGCTTTATATCAGTGCCCCATTCTGATAAAGCCTCTGAGAAACCTGTTCAGGTATTAGCTACTCAGACAGCTGAAAGGGTGCGTGCTACTGAAGCACCGGAGAACAGAGAGTATCACAGAGCTTGCTGTTAAAAACCCTTCAGCGCTCAGCTCCCATTGACGAGGCTGGCTCCCCTGCTACTTACAGTCTGTGTTCTTCAGGGACTGCTTCTTCTGTGAGGGTTTGGAAATCACTTTGATCAGCTTGCTGTGGAAAGTGCCGATCTCCTGCCCATTGCTGAAGAAGAGCTTCAGAACCAGCCGGAAATGCTTCCTCTTCTCCGTGTCGGAGATGTAGAGTGCTTTGGCACAGCTGAACTCCTGTCAGTAACAAGGGGCTATTGTCATAGGCTGGAGATTGTGTCTGGAGTCTTTGGGTGCATCTTCCCTGAAGATACGCCAGTGAGGGAGGACACCGATATCTGCCTACCTAGATACCTAGAGCGATACCTAATCACGTCTTCATTTCCTTTGCAGCTGGGGGGCTTTATCTGCTGAGAGTGAGAGGCTGGCCAACAGCATTGGTTAATGATCGCTTAGTGCAGGCAAGGTCCCCTGATAAACTCACCTCTGCTCATACACTGTTGTCCCTAGGCAGGAGACTTGACTGAACAGAGGGTCCTGTGGCACCTTTGAGACTAACAGAAGTATTGGGAGCATAAGCTTTCGTGGGTAAGAACCTCACTTCTTCAGATGCAAGATGCTTATGCTCCCAATACTTCTGTTAGTCTCAAAGGTGCCACAGGACCCTCTGTTGCTTTTTAGAGATTCAGACTAACACGGCTACCCCTCTGATACTTGACTGAGCAGAGAGTGATAAGCATTGAAGGGTCCCTGAGGTCCCTTCCAACCCTGATATTCTATGATTCTATGATAAAGGGACAAATGGCCATGGAGACTGGGGAACTCCTAACTATCACAATGATGGGGCAGTACTGTTGCCAAGGTTTATTATTTGTATTGCGGGAGGACCTAGGAGCCCCAATCAGGGACCAGGACCCCCTTGTGCACCAATTCTGTATCAAGACAGACCAAAAAGACAATCCCTGCCCCCAGATGCTTACAGTCGGTGTAAAGATGCTCATGGTGCTTTCCAGACAACAAACAAAAGACATAGGCCAAAGGAGCTTGTCTTTTAGTATAGATTGCATGAAAGAGTAAATAACAAGAAGCCAGGAGCCCCTAGAGGCTGGGACCCTGGCCCCACCAGCCCTTCTACCATATTAAGTTTTGCCTAATTAGTTGGTCAGGTATTTTAGGCAAAAGAACTTTTAAACTAGTGTATGTAAAAGGGAAAAAAATCACTGCCGGATTTTGCATGAAAATTTTCACTCTTTTGTTACGAACTAATTATGTTTCCTGGAATTTTTTGCTTTTCCTTGAAATGTTGATGATGTGACATTTTGGGTCCACAAAATGTCATCGGAAAACCCGGAAATCAACGTCCTCATGAAACTGCCCACTGAAGCGGGAGTGCTGGAAAGTGGACGTGGCTATTTTTGAAACTCTTCCTGCGTGGGAAGAGAGAGACTGAGAGCTGACAGACACTTTTCCATGTGTGTTTGTTTCTATCTACCCACCTATCGCAGATGGTTAGCACAGGCCCTGATCCTGAAAACGCTTACTCACATGTTGAACTTTACACACAATTGGTCCCGCTTGGCTCAATGTAAATGAGCATGGCCAGGTTAGTAGGGTGGGTCCTTAGACTGTAAGCTCTTTGGGGCAAGAACTATATCTTCATATGTGTTTGCAACGCACCCAGTCCAAGGAGGCCCTGATCCTGGCTGGGGCCTCTGAGTACTATCATAAGGAGTACTGCAGAAAGGGATCTGGGGGTCGTAGTGAACCACAAGCTAAATATGAGTCAACAGTGTAACGCTGTTGCAAAAAAAGCAAACATCATTCTGGGATGTATTAACAGGAGGGTTGTAAGCAAGACACGAGAAGTAATTTTTCCGCTCTACTCTATGCTGATTAGGCCTCAACTGTAGTATTGTGTCCAGTTCTGGGCACCACATGTCAGGAAAGATGTGGGCAAATTGGAAAATGTCCAGAGAAGAGCAACAAAAATGATTAAAAGTCTAGCAAACATGACCTATGAGGGAAGATTGAAAAAACTGGGTTTGTTTAGTCTGGGGAAGAGAAGACTGAGAGAGGACATAACAGTTTTCAAGTATATAAAAGGTTGTTACAAGGAGGCGGGAGAAAAATTGTTCTTCTTAACCTCTGAGGATAGGACAAGAAGCAATGGGCTTAAATTGCAGCAAGGGCAGTTTAGGTTGGACATTGGGAAAAACTTCCTGTCAGGGTGGTTAAACACTGGAATAAATTGCGTAGGGAAGTTGTGGAATCTCCATCATTGGAGATTTTTAAGAGCAGGTTAGACAAACACCTGTCAGGGATGGTCTAGATAATACTTAGTCCAGCACGAGTGCAGGGGACTGGACTAGATGACCTCTCAAGGTCCCTTCCAGTCCTATGATTCTATGATAAACAGTAACACAGAGAGGGAGAGAGCAACAACAAGGCTTGTGACACTAGGCAAGGATGTAAGACAATCAATTAACCCAGCAACTCAACCTGCGCCGGATTCCTGCCCAACCTGAGCACGATGACATGTGCAGAAGTGAATCACTGCACCATCAGTGCACAGCATGGTGCTACAAACTGGCTCCTGTTAGTCATGTGGCTGAACATACAGCTCTCCAAACCACGATGCCTGGGCCTCCCCTAGAAGGGGTATCTTCAATAATCTTCACTCTAAATAGTTTCAGTGTCCACCTTATAACAACAAAGACTTCAGTGAAAAGATGCCCTTCATGCTGGTGTGGGGATGGGAGACCCGCAGGGGGCTGCAGGAGCCAGATGGCTGTTCTTCTCTGTCCTTCCTTATGTGCTTTGGGTTTTCAGAAAGGAAACTGCCCACCTTGCACTGTGCTGTGTGTATTAATGATGATTCTTAAGCACCACCCCGTGAAGGGCCCAGAAGACAAGACCCCCCTTCACCAGAGCCACCATCACTTTGCTCAATACACCCAAGAAAATGCACTGCAGAACAAAGCAGCTCCCACTAGGACATGATGGGGTCCATTCAGAGGAGCTATAGGTTCATTTAAAGGGGGAAATGATTAGAGATGTTATTTCAGGTGGAGTGAAGAGCTGAGGAATGGCAGAGGCTTTATTTACACTGGGGCTAGAGAATTCCAAATGGAAATTAATGTTCACATGTGATTTACTCAACATAACACAAGAAATCTCCCTAGGTTTACAGTTTCCCAGTCACCTTAGCGCTTCGGCTGCACTGATATGCTGTAAGGGAAGCACTGCAAACACAAAGGTCCTTTTTGTTATATTTCTGGCCAACCCCAGACCCCACATTCTTCAGAGCCCCAAGATAATACTTGATAGATTTCTTTCCCTATAGGAAGATGCCAAGTTATAGCTCTAACCCACAACGTTTGTGACAGGTCGGTGTTTTCGTTAGCAGTTTATCTGTAAATGAAAGACCGCACTCTCATTTTGTGATGAGTGGCATTGCCATTTGTCAGGAGAATACTATGGGCTGGGGAAACTGCGTAATCCCTGGCCATCCTCCAGCCACAAGGGCCTGGAAGTTGAAAAGATGGTGACAAAGAAAGACCGGTTTCCTGGCAAACCGTGAGTGAAGAGCACTCACAGTGCTGCAGGGAGATGCCTGGTCATATGTGACTAGGGGGCAGGAGAGCCTAGAGAGTTGTTGTGTCAGGGGAGTCATTTTACTCAGCTTACCTTGGAGTCTGGCTGCTCCTCAAAGTTGAGTTTCTGGGTCTCCATGTGGCCGCTGCCCATGCTGTCCAGCCCCATGTACCCGCACACCCTGAAACCAGCCTCTCCCAAATCCCTCGCTGGAAAAGAGAAGAAGAAACATTTCCCAGACACAGAAACCTGGACACCAGCTGAAACCAATGCAGCTGGGACCATGGAGCCTGAAGTGAGGGTCGGGGCTGCTGCTGCCCAGACTGCTGGTGGCAATGGAGAGAGAGGGAGGGCTGAGCTGTTGTCGCCCCCCCATGCCCTCACTAGAGAGAGGAAGAGGGGACTGGGTAGCTACTGCCCCCCCACCCCCCGAGAGAGCTCAGGCAGGTGAACCTCCCCAGAAGCATCTTTGGGACACTTGGACACTTCTGGTCTCCAGCTGCACTGATGTGAGATGCTGCTTTCCTGCATCTCACCCTCCCTATCCTGCACCCCTAGACACCTTCGACAACAGGCTCGGCAGCTTCTCCCGACTGCCCGGCTTCACCAGCCCCTCTCCCCCGATCCCCGTCTCCATCCCCCTTCTGTTCCTCCTGGCTCTGATCTTCCTGCTTCCCTTCTCCCACGTCCCTGTCTCTCCACTCCTCCAACCTTTTACCTTCCCGTATCCTCCCCCACCTGGGCTGCATGCTCCCCTCCCCAGAGCGCATTCCAGAAGCCCCTTGTTCTGCGAAGTATGTAGGATGTCTTCGCCTGTGCACATACACAACACCCAGCAGGGATGGATGGGGGCATGTGTCCAGAGATTGAGAGCTACACCAAGCTGTGACTGTAACGACCTTAAATACCCACGACAGGACATTTGTCACTCTTGTCCTCCCCCCTGCTATCCCCAATCCAGTGTTTGCTGCTACCACTTGTGGCATCTTTGTCTGTCATTTAAGTTGTAAACTCTTTGGGACAGGGACCTGGGGTGAAAGCCATACTCCATTGAAATCAATGGCAAAACTCCCCTTGACTTCAGTGGGGCCAGGATTTCACTGTGTCTTTATTTATGCACCTGCATGGTGCCTTGAATGCTTTGGGGCACTCAGTGAGTGAATAATGAAAATAATGGGGTGCTGCTGTTGCCCCCCAGAGCAGAGCTGCATGGGGGCAATGGGAAACATTTTGCTTTTCCGGGGACCCAGGGAAGTGAAATTTTCTGGATGTTTTACCAGCACTGAGAACCTGTTCACCCTGTTCTGCTGGCCATCAAGTGCAGCATTTCCTACCCTTACGGGCAACCACACTCCTCAGATGCTAATTACGTCGGTACTGTTTATGCAGTAATTGTTTCACAGTGATCATAACTAACGGCTGAAGCAATGAAGCCCCTGGACTATCTGAAATGAGTGTGCACACTGCCATCCCGGCATGACCCTGCACTCAGCACCCCTTTCAGCACAGCCTGGTTTTGCCTGACCACCGCTCTGAGCCCCTGCTGTGTCAATGAATCTGGAGGCCGTCAAACCCTCTCTGTGGTCCGGACACATTTCCTGCAGCTGGCAGCATGACCTAGAGCACTGCTGCTGCAGGCGTTGTGGTGTTTTCTCAGGCTCTCGGCTGTCTGGCGGGCGGGCCGGCCCCTAGAATCCCTCACAATGATTAATACCCTGGTCTGTGGCTCTTAGGATATGTCTACACTGCAGTCGGAGGTGTGATGGCAGCTCATGTAGGCATATCCACACTAGCTTGAATCTAATTAGTATGGCTAAAAATAGCAGTGAAGACACAGGGGCATGCACCCTGGTGCAGACTGTACAAGCCCACCTGGAACCCTGGCCAGGGCTGCCCAGAGGATTCAGGGGGCCTGGGGCAAAGCAATTTCGAGGGCCCCTTCCATAAAAAAAAGTTGCAGTACTGTAGAACACTATATTCTCGTGGGGGCCCCTGCAGGACCCGGGGCCTGGGGCAAATTGCCCCACTTGCCCCCCGCCCGGGCGGCCCTGACCCTGGCTATGTATTTGCATTGCTAGCACATGCTTGGATTGACTTCACTGCTATTTTAGCCTTGCTAGCTAGATTAAAGCTAGCACAGGTATGGCTATGAGCTGCAATCACTCCTCCACCTGCAGTATAGATACAGCCTTCATTTTGTTTGGATACCTTAGGCCAAACTCAGTCCTGACAACAGGGGGAATCTCTCCTCTTGATTTCTGTGGGAGGGACACAGGCTCAGAACTTCTCAGGTTCTGGTCCAGAGCTAGGAACTGGCTGTGGTGTTTGGATCACCTTCATTGTGGGGGATGGTTGGCTAGAAGGTTTTGTGTAGGGCTTAAGTCAAGGGCTTGATAACTCCATCCACACAGAGAGCTAGGAAATTACTCCCTGGCAAATGCCTTGATTCACCAGCATTCACGGAGGGTAAAGTCCTCGGACCAAATACAGAAGTTCTTACTCAGTTGACACTCCCATTGCCTTTCAATGACCTAGGAGAGGAGAGCAACATCTAATTCCCTCCTGATGCCTCAAGCTGTGAAGCCGCCATTATAGGAGTGTACCCATTGTTAACAGGTATGTCTACACTGCAAATAAAAACCTGCAGCAGCAAGTCTCAGAGCCCAGTTCAATTGACTTGGGCTCAGGCAGTGGGGCTAAAAGTAGCAGTGTAGACATTCCCATTCAGGTGAGTGGGAATGTCTACACTGCTATTTTTAGCCCCTCATCCTGATCCCAAGTCAATTGAACTGGGCTCTGAGACTTGCTGCTGCGGGTTTTTCATTGCAGTGTAGACATACCCTAAATGGTCTCACGGTCAAGAATTTTCCTCCAAACTCTCCCTTTTCTATCTTCAGTCCTCGCTCCTGACTGGAGGAAATGGTTTCTTTCCCCCGCCACAAAATTTTTTCATGTGACTGAACATTTTTCATTATCATCAAAAGTTTTCTTTGGAATTTTTCAGGTTTTTGCTGAAAACTGAAAAATGTCAAGTTTTTGGTTGCGGAAAACAAAATAAATAATTTGTTAAAAATGCAGTTTTTGAACTTTGTGTTATTGTGGCTGAAAATCTGAACATTTTGACGAAAATGAAATTTTTTTCATGAAAATTTCCATTTTATAGAAAATGGATGTTCATGAAAAATTTTAGACTAGCTCCTGGTCCCAACCCGCTTTGCCTCCCTGCATAATCCCCTCCCCTCAGGTCCTGATCCCCAGGTCTTGTCCCCATTCTCCTCAGCAGATCACATGTGGTGCCTTCAGACTCTCCTTAGAGGAAGTCCCCTCTGATCTTTGGCACTTTTAATGGCCTCTTTTTAGAGTCTCTCCAATGTATCAGTCCTGCAGATGGAACATGCCCTGCTTCTTCCCATCAGCTCAAGCCTAGTTCCATCGCTTCCTTCGCTGCTTTTCATCACCCCAACTCCGCCCTTTCCTGTGAACTTGCTAATAGAGCTGAACAAATATATAATTTGATGAATTTAACCTTGTGATCTGTTTGAGTACATGAACTATGTATTCATTTGTCATGGGTATTCACTCTGTTAAAGCTCAAGAACTCGAACGCTAAGGGCACGTCTTCACTACCCGCCGGATCGGCGGGTAGCAATTGATCTATTGGGGATCGACTTATCGCGTCTAGTGAAGACGCGATAAAATCGATCCCTGATTGCTCTGCCGTCGACTCCGGAAATCCACCGCGGCAAGAGGCGGCAGCGGAGTCAACGGCGGCGCGGCAGCGGTCGACTTGCCCCCGTCCTCACAGCCAGGTAAGTCGACCTAAAATACGCAACTTCAGCTACGGTATTCACGTAGCTGAAGTTGCGTATCTTAGGTCGACCCCCCGCTGTAGTGTAGACCTAGCCTAACAGGTCAAATATACACTCAAACCGAAAGTCACTTTCATGTCTG